TTTTGTAAATGGAGGCTTCTTGGCCCATGTCCAGGCTCATTCCTTGCCATGCAAGCTGTGGTTGCTTTGCTGCCGAGTCCACAGACCCAGCAGTGCCCAGGATGTGCTCTGCGTGGTGGTGAAGCCGGGTAGCCAGCCCCTGGGCAGGGTACTTTAGACAGATTCTCCACTCTTCGGGCATGACCTTGATCTCTGTAAAAGAGGCCAAGGACTGTTACTGTCACCCACCGGCCCAGGGAAATCCAGTGGAGTTGCTGGAGAGCTCTGCACCAGAAGACCTGTTTCTGCCTGCCACACAGTAGTTGACCCTCCTCTCCTTGCTGGGTGTGCAAGCTCATAGCTGTCTGGGAGCTAAGGAAGGCAATAGCCACGTTTTCCAGAATTGCTGAAAGGGCCAGGGGCTGGGGGTGGGGAATCGCTGTGAGGTCAGCACAGGTGTTTGCGTAGGGCTGGCAATGTGCCTCAGCAGGCTAATACTCCACCTGCCTGTGCCGGCATCGCATATGCCCCAGCTGCTCCACTCCCATCCAGCTCCCTGCTGTGGCCTGGGAAAGCAGCAGAGGACGGCCCAAAGCCTTGGGACCCTGCACCCACATGGGAGACCTGGATAAGTTCCTGGCTCTTGGCTTCAGATCGGCTCAGCTCCAGCCATTGTGGCCAGTTAGGGAGTGAACCAGTGGATGAAAGATCTTTCTGTCTCTCCTGCTCTCTATAAATCTGCCTTTCCAATTAAAAAAAAAAGTGAGTGCACATGTTGGGGAGGAAGATGTCCAGAGAAGCCCGCTCATTGCACCCTGCTTCTTGTGGTGAGCAGAGATTGGCAGTGTGAGAAGCCCTCGGCCAGCTAACTGCAGTGTAGGCCCAGGCTGCTGGGGAATCCATGGCCAGCTTTGTGGTTCGGCACAAGCGCGCACTCCATGTCCATGCCCAGGTAGGAGGCCACTGCAGCCCTGGCCCCAGCTCCTGCCAGCACTCACCTTTACACTCTGACACCGTGCCCCTGGCTTGCTGCCAAAGCTCAGCTTTTCCCAGTGGCTGGAGACTGATTAGCTAGGTGGGAGAACAAGGTGCCTTTGTGCCAGGGCATTTTGCTTTTGAGAATTTCGCAGAGAACATTCAAGCCGAGTCTGGATGCAATGCCAAATTATGCAGATTTGGAGTTTTTCTGGTCAGGTTTCCCATGAGTAGGTATGTTAGCAACTTGATTTTGTTCTTAGTTTGTATGGTCTGGAATTTCCCTTATAAATATTACACAGACTCATAATTGTTTTAAAATAGTAATATATGTGCTTTTTGAAAAGACACATTCTTGATTGGCTTTGGGAAAAGTGTGCCAAAAAATGGCTAACATCCCTAAATTTCTTTCCAAAGCCTACTTGTAAGTCAAGTTCAGTCTCCATGAGAGCCCAGTGTAAATCATTGACAGAGGAGAAGACAAAGGCCCCTAGGCCCAGACACGCAGGCAGCAGGGTTGGGGGCTCTGCTGGTGTGGCCGGTTGCTTGAAAGCATGTACGTGTGGTGTCAGGAAAGAAGAGGGGGGTCTCAAGCCTGTGTATGCCGCTGCCTGACGTGCCTGCCAGGAGCAGACGGGGAGCCCGTCAAAGACCGCCGGCCGGCATGGCGATTGAAGCTGTGCAGTGAGGTGACGGGCAGCGGGAGCGGGCGCCAGTGTGGCACTCGCCGCTGCAGTAGCTTCATGCTTCACCGGGGCCACCTGATCTCTGTATCGTTCCAGTTTTAGTGTATGTGCTGCTGAAGCAAGCATTGCAGCAGCTTCAGATCAGCACTTTGGGGAGCTTGTGTCTGCTCTTCTCAGTGTTTCTTTATCATTGGAAGTTCTTTATCATCCAGTTATTTCTGAAAATATACTTTGAACATTCCTTCCTGCTGTGACTTTTCATTTTCCTCTTTACCTCTGCCTCTTGTCCTCTGTTGAGGTACTCCACATGATCTAACAATACCTGAGCCAAGGTGTCTGGCTTCCCCAGCTTGTGTCATGGGTTAGAAATTGGTGGATGGCTCAGTGCAATGGCTCAGTTGGCTAATCCTCCACCTGCAAGTGCCATCATCCCATATGGCTACTGGTTCATATCCCAGCTGCTCCACTTTCCATCCAGCTCCCTGTTTGTGGCCTGGGAAAGCAGTGGAGGATCATGCAAAGCTTTGGGCTCCTGCACCCATATAGGAAACTCACAAGATGCTCCTAGCTTCAGATTGCTCAGCTCTAGCCACTGCAGCCATTTAGGGAGTGAACCCGTGGATGGATGCTCTCTCTCCCTCTCTGTAAATCTGTCTTTCCAATATAAATAAATACATCTTAAAAAGAAAGAAAGAAATTGGTGCTATGCTGTGTGGCAGCACATTTTCTGACATTGGAATGATGCAGGGAGGATGAACACGGCCCCGTGCAAAGATGACATGCACATTTTTGAAACTTTCTCTATTTTTCAGTGCCATAGCATAGTAGTTATGCTTCTGCCTGCCTCACTTCCAATCCAGCTCCCTGCTTGTACCTAGGAAAGTAGCAAAAATGGCCCAAGGCCTTGGACCCTGCACCCACAGGTGACCCAGAAGAAGCTCCTGGCTCCTGGCTTTAGCCTGGCCCAGTTTTGCTCTTGCAACCAACTGGGGAGTGAGCCAGTGGATGGAAGACCTGTATCTCTCACTCTCCTTCTTCTTTCTCTGTAAATCTGTTAAGTTTTAAGAAAAAAAAAAATTTTTTTTTGGTGGCCCTGGCATGGATTCTGGCCGAGTTGGTAGTGTTGTCAGTACTGAGGAACAGGGAGATTCTTCCTAAGGCAGGACTGGCTAGCCCACTGCCACCACACCCCTTACTGGGTCTCCCCCACTTGCTGGTGTCTGGGTTCCTGCCCCACAGAAATAACATGATTCTGATCTTACACCTGCGCCTCCTTGGAAAGTGGGACAGAAAAGGGTTAAGGCTGCCTTAAGGGAGAGAGTGTTCATTTGCAGAAAACAAAGCTGCCAAGTGTCTCATACCCACCAGGTCCACTCAGCAGCCTCACTTGCCCAGCTGCTCAGCTGCTGCAGCAAATGCTTGGTTTTGGTCTGCTTGAGTTCGATGCGATAGTCACGCAGCTTGGAGGTTTCCTGAACAAGGAGAAAAGCTTCAGTTGCTGGTGTACAATGATGTCTCAATAGTTTGTTTCTCCCATTGTGTTGGTTGCTTCTTCACTTTGTTAATAATTTCCTTTGCTATACAGAAGCTTTTTAGTTTGAAGTAGTCCTCTTTGTTTATTTTGATTTTGACTACCTGTGCTTTTGATGTCTTTTTTTTTTAAGATTTATTTTATTTTTATTGGAAAGGCGGATATACAGAGAGGAGAGACAGAGAGGAAGATCTTCCGTCCGATGATTCACTCCCCAAGTGAGCGCAAGAGCCGATGCTATGACAATCCGAAGCCAGGAGCCTCTTCCGGGTCTCCCACGTGGGTGCAGGGTCCCAAAGCCTTGGGCTGTCCTTGGCTGCTTTCCCGGGCCACAGGCAGGGAGCTGGATGGGAAGGGGAGTTGCCGGGATTAGAACCGGCGCCCATATGGGATCCCGGGCATGCAAGGCGAGGACCTTAACCACTTGCGCCACCGCGCCAGGCCCTTGATGTCTTTTCTAAGAAAACTTTCCCTGTTCTATTTCTTGGAGAGTATTTCCCTTTAATAGTTTGATGGTTTATGAGTGTAGATTTAGGTCCTTGAACCATTGAGTGCTGATTTTTGTATAATGTGACAGGTGTGGGTCTTGCTTCTTAATTCTGTAGGCTCCTGTCCAGGTGTTCCAACAGCATTTGTTGAATAGACCAGACTCATAGGCAGACAGAGTGCCAACTGGCACTGGGCTCTGCACACTGGCCCTGGTGGCAATCTCTGGGTGTGGAATTGCTGCCCAGAGACATCCATGGATAAGGTCCCTGTGCATGTAGGTGAGGAATGAATCCTGAGAGACTCCCAACAGGGTCACTGTACTTGCAGGTGAGCGAGGGGACTGAGTCCTGATAATTTGGAAGGGAGAGACTGGAAGATCTGTATGAGTTAGACTGATACACCAGCCCATAGGGGAGTCCTAAGGAGGGCTTGTTATCATGGAACATTGCTGACCACCACATGCCAGTCCATGCGAAAGCTAGAGCTGGGGGCCTATCTAGCAGGGCTAGATCCTAGTGCCTGACTGAATGTTAGAGCAGGTGATGGGTCACATTAAGCTGGACCATGACACTAACCAGCACGTGAGAGAACCAGGTCTGAGGGTAGATTCTTTGGGGGGATATGTGGTCCAAATCCTGTGGGAATACAAGCCCCGCTGGTTAGCTCTAGGATTGGGAGGGGATGGACTGAGCTAGGTGTGACCATGGAACCTGCCATCACTCATGGGTACAGGGACCAAGAACAGTCTGGGAAGATCCAGGCTGCAGCACCTGCATGTGCATCCTGGAGCAGGGTGTGGGATGGGCCAGGCCGCAACATTCATCAGTTCCTACAAGACCAAGATAGAGGGGCAGGCTATGCCAGGCAAGGGCCTAAGACCTGCTGGCATGCATGAGATCTGGGTGTGGGAGTGGGCCAAGTGGGGGAATGTGGGAAACTCCTAGTGGGTCATAGGTTCCACTGATGATCACCTGGTCCAGGCCTGGTGGTCTGGAAAGCTGGGCAAGGTAGGTCCAACTGTTGGCCAATGTGTGGGTTTGTTTTGGAGGGGTGAGGACCGGGCAAGGCCCAGCAAACCTTAGCTCACTGGCAATATGGGCATTGTTCACATTTGGATGTGCATGAGCTCTTGTCATTGAAGGTCAGCATTTGGCACTGTTATGTGCATTTGTGCAGGCCGATTGGTGGCATTCTGTGGTGTAGCAGGCGTGTTTTACTCTAGGATTGCAGCATGCCCTCAGCCTGGTATTGGGTGTAGTAGATGGGTTGTGCTGTGCACATCTGGGTGGCCAACAACTTTTTCAGCATTTGTATAACTGCTGTATTTCATTTTTTAACAGAAGAAGCAGACTACAGTGCCTTTGGTACAGACACACTAATCAAGAAGAAGAATGTTTTAACCAACGTCTTACGTCCTGACAACCATAGAAAGAAGCCACACATAGTCATTAGCATGCCCCAAGACTTCAGACCCGTGTCCTCCATCATTGACGTGGATATCCTGCCGGAGACACACCGCAGGGTTCGCCTGTACAAGTACGGCACGGAGAAACCTCTGGGCTTCTACATCCGGGACGGCTCCAGCGTCCGCGTGACTCCACACGGCCTGGAGAAGGTGCCGGGTATCTTCATCTCCCGACTCGTCCCAGGAGGGCTAGCCCAAAGCACAGGACTTCTAGCTGTCAACGACGAGGTTCTAGAAGTCAATGGCATAGAAGTTTCTGGGAAGAGCCTGGACCAGGTCACAGACATGATGATCGCCAACAGCCGCAATCTCATCATCACCGTGAGGCCTGCAAACCAGAGGAACAACGTGGTCAGGAACAGTCGGACTTCCGGCAGCTCTGGCCAGTCCACCGATAACAGCCTCACTGGCCACCCGCAGCCGAGCGAGCCCAGCTTTGAGCCCGAGGACGAAGACAGCGACGAAGACGACATCGTCATCGAAGACAATGGGACACCACAGCAGATTCCAAAAGCCACTCCCCACGCCACTGAGAGCCTGGAGTCTCTGGCACAGATAGAACTCAGCTTTGAGACTGGGCAGAATGGGTTTATTCCTTCTGCTGAGATGAACTTGGCATCTGTAGCAAGTGGCACCAACACGGCAACACGCAGCACAGGTCAGAAGCTCTTGGAAGAAGATGGCACAATCATAACGTTATGACGGCGTCCTCAGTGTCAGCTGAGTGGGACGCCGCTGGGCGGGGCTTGCTCCTGTGGCCAAGCGCAGGCCTCCTTCCCTCCGAGCCAGCGATGTGGAACAGGCATGAGGAAAGTGCTGCTACAAGCCTCAGATGTAGCTCGATAACTGTTAGCTCGGACTTTGGATCAGAGCGGGACTGGAGTCTCAAAGGGGTCTTGGCCAGTGCGGCAAAGTGCTTTTGCTGTTTGTGTACTCACACTCGGGGCTGGGCCGTCTCTGTTTAACCCGCTGTGCAGAGCCTGCTTGGTTTCCTCTTTCGCTGTGTTGTTCAGCTCCCAATGTGAAGAGGTCTGACTGGCTACACTGGTGACCTCAGCTGTCACATTCCCAAGATCATACATTGATTTTTCCTTCATGTTGTCCCTCGTTGCTGAGTGTAACATTTTCTCCAATGCATTGTTTGTTTGTTTCTGTTTCTAATTTCTGAAAAGCGTCAGACTGGTTAGCCCTTTCTAGGGGTTGTTTTTTGTGCTACCCATCTTTGAAGCCATGTTCCTGCACTGTGAGGCTGACAGCTCTTCCGGCTGATGTGTCTGTCCCGAGCTCTCATGTGTACAGACCATTGCATGTGGATGTGACCTCTGCTTCCGCAGCAGCGCCTTGCCGACGTCCCTGCTGACTGTGGGTGTGTGTTGTCGTTGTCATGCATTTATACTCCTAATGTATTCAAGTGGTATGAAGCGTTTTAGATGAAGAAATGCACCCAGATGAAGTCATTTTTACATACCGGACAAACTTGTGCACTTTTTGTACAAAAAAAAAAAGTAGGATTTTGTTCACAAGGTCTCTAGGAACACTGCCTATACATTATAAAAATTATGTAGTGCTTGCCCGTGACAGGCAGAGCTTATGACCATTAATTTTATGAGGCTATTTATTGCTTCCTAACGCATCCACTCAGAAGGAGTTCCGGGCGAGGCTTCTGTCCGCCCCGGCCTGCCGGCACAGAGCCCGCGGGCTGTCCCCTGCTCAGAGGCCCGTGCCCGGACGAGTGCTCCTGGCAGCTTCTGCAGGGTTATTTATTAATCGTAGGCTAAAGCTAGCATGGATTCCTTTGTAAAATGGTGTGCTATGAAAACGAAGATGCAAATGACTCCGTTTTGAAGGATGTTTCCTCTGGCAAAATACATGAAGAAGTAAAATATTGGTGAACTGCAGATCTCTGACTCAGAATACTCCGTGTGTTCTGTTTCTGTACCACTACATGTATTCTCGGTAAACCGCTCACTGCACAAGGTTATGTAGCACAAAGCACCTGTTGTTGAATTCACTCAAGTCCTTCCATTTATAAACCACCGTCCTTTACGGCATTCCGGCATTGAACATTGTGAGTCTCACATATTTGACTCTGGAATGGCAAAATAATGTTAGATGTAGAAGATTAAATTTCATTTATAATATCAATGGTGCAGGGGTTCAACATTTTAAGTAAAATCCTTTTACACACTACCTCTCTCTCTCTCTCTCTCTCTCTTTCTCTCTTTTTTTAAACCAAGTTTTAACACCAGAACCTTTCTCTTGGGGAAAAATACTTCAGGGCTTGACTTTTGTACAAATTTTAATTGTAAAGTGCAGATTTATCTTGTTATGTGTTCATGAAAATGGAGATCGCAGCTGCTAGTGCATTTTATGTTAAGTATGTGTCATTGGTGTTTTCAACTAGATCTTTGTCATTTTTATTGTTGGTGAAATAATGGATTCTGAGACATGCTGTAAAACCAACAGATCCTGGTTACACAGTGCAACAGCGCACTGATAGTCTGAATCGGCTATTTCAAATGCACCTTATCAACAAAAATGTCAGTGGATTTTATAGTCCTACATGTCAAGCCTGACTGTGAATTCTGTTCTGTATCTTAAGTAAATTTATGATAATGTTCTCAAAATTGTCAACAAAATACATGTGTTCTTGTGAGCTATGAATTTTCTAATTAAATTTTACATACTATAACATGATTTTTACATGAATGATACTTTGTTTAAACTATCAAATGTCAGTATTTTACTACAGTTTTATTACAAAATGTACACTACCACTAAATGAACTTTGATTTTAAAAATCAAATTAGCTTTAGTTGTACATTATTTTTTACAAATAAAGATAGACTTGTATAAAGGCTACTTTCTTGTTTGAAATTGTGAAAGGTCAATCCATTGTGACAGGTCAGTCCAATAGATACTTACCCCGCACCCCACTATGTAAGCTAGAGGTCAGAAAGTGTTCAACTATAAACAAGATTCTTCCTTAATTTTTTGTTAAAAGTCAAAAACCAAGGTTGGCACTGTGGCATATTGGGCTGACCCTGCATGTGTGCCATTGGTTCCAATTCATCCTGCTAATGGCAGGGGAAGGCAACAGAGGATGATCCAAAGCCTTATGCCCCTGCATTCCTGTGGGAGACCCAGAAGCAGCTCTGGCCAATACAGCCATTTGGGGAGTACACCAGAACATGGAAAGTCTCTCTGTTCTCTCAATAATTCCTTCAAGTAAAATACTTGTAAAAAAAAAAGTTGAGCACCAAGTTTTATGTTACTGAAAGGTAATAATAGAATTTGGTTAGTCCTAGGGGAAAGCTTTGAGGCATAGTGGGTTAAGCTACAGCTTGGGACACCTGAATCCCATATTAGAGTGCTGGTTCAAGCCCTGGCTATCCCGCTTCAGTGCTGGTTCAAGCCCTAGCTATCCCGCTTCTTACAACAGTAAGAAGATCCTTTACAGGCTGCCTGAGTGCTGTCAGAAGAGGGAGTTTAGATGCCAAAAATAGGGGCTGGCCCTGGCCGTAGCAGGGAAAAGCTCCAGCCAGCATCCCATTTGGCACCAGTTTATGTCCCAGCTATTCTTCCAACTTAGCTGCCTGCCAATGAGCCTGGGAAAGCAGTGGAGGATGGCCCGAGTGCTTGGGCTCCTCCCATCCACATGGAAGACCTGGAGGAAGGCTCCTCCTGACTCCTGGTTTTGGCACTCCATCACCATTGTGGCCTTCTGGGGAGTGAACCAGGAGATCGAAGAGCCTTTCTGTAATTCAAGTCAATAAATCTTAGTGGGGCGGGGGAGACAAAAATTAAATATTGGTGACAGACGGTTCATGTGCATAACATGGTGGGTGGATATGACTGTCAGGAGGTCAATTAATCTGGTAGCTTCAACAATGAGGAAGTTCTTGGATGGGTGTTTAGCCTCTTCTAGGCTAAGATCCTTCTGCCGCAGAGTGCCCAGGTTCAGAATGCACTCTACTCCTGACTCCAGCTTGGTGCTCATGCGAACCGTGGAAGGTCTTAGAGCCAGGGTTGCCAATTCAAATGCCCTGAGGCCAGGGGTAGGACAGGTGAATATTAGGTGACCCCACTGCCTGAGGGGAAAAGTCACCCTTTGAGTGAGTGTGTGGGGAGCCCAGAGTCATCAGCTCTTCTTCTAACCTTTCAGAAGCTCCCAGAAACATGCCATGTCATAGGAAATGGTCCAAACCTTAAAACACATGACATGGTCCAAATAGTTCCTCCATCACAGCTAGCGTGCAGACTGCCACTTTGCTCTCCCCCATCCCTGCCCTAGGGACACCAAGGATCCACAACTGTCAGTCAACATCTGGATGCCCTCCGCTGTTAAGCCCTTGGGCGGCAGGGGCAGGGCTGCTGCAAGAAGTGAGTTGGTGCGTACAGTGCCTGATGGCAGCTGTTCCCCTCCTCTGGGAGGTGGCTGGGGCCTAAAGGCATTTAACATCCGACCCCAGGCAGTGATGCACACCTGTGTCCTCTGGCTCCTTGGGACTCCACAGGGGAGCCCGGAGCAGTGGCATTGGCACTCCTCCAAGTGCAGGTGCTCAGGGCCTAACCAGTCCTCCCAGATGTGTGGCTCTGCAGGTTCACCCTGTGTGTATACCCTGAGGCCTCAGTACACCTGCAGACGGGAAAGCCTTCTCTCTGTTTGCCTGCATTCCCAGCAAAACTTTATGTTTTTTTTTTAAAGATTTATTTATTTTTATTGAAAAGGCAGAGCTACAGAGAGAGAAGGAAACACAGAATCTTCCATCTGCTGGTTCACTGCCTAAATGACTGCAACAGCTGGAGCTGGACCAGTCTGAGGTTAGCAGCTTATTCTGGGTCTCACACGTGGGTTCAGGGCCCCAAGGACCTGATCCTTCCTCTGCTGCTTCCCCAGGCCATCAGCAGGGAGCTGGATTAGAAGTAGAACAACTGGGACATGAACTGTGCTCCCATGGGATTCTGGCGCTACAGGCTGAGGTTTAGCAGGCTATGCTGCTGCACTGGCTCCCCCAAACTCTTGTTAAGCAAGACTTAGAATCACTTGAAAAATTCAGGGATGTTGAAAAGCCGTCCACCTGCTCTTCCTGCATGTGCCTCAGTAGGAAATCACTTGGTGAGAGGGAACTGTCTCTTCAGCACTCTGAACACGGTAACTCCCTTACTGCAATCCCATGGGTCAGAATGGCAGTTTGGATCAAATACCACAGCAGCCCCACAAAAAATCCTGCAGGCGTGCTGCAGCCAAGCCCCCAGACCACTCCAGGCTGGGCTTGCACGCTGGCTTATCTACTGAGAGAGAGCAAGAGAAGAGCTAGAATCTGACTGCCAGCGTGGCTCACAGACGGTATCAGTGCAGCATGCCTGCCCACTCACCTCTGAGCAAGCAGTGCCTGGACCAGCCAGGAAATAGCATTCCTAGCATCCTTTCTGACTAAGGCCTGGGGCAGGCTGCACTGAGATGAGAGGCAGCACCACCGCCCGCGTTGGAGAGCAGGTTCCCAGGCTCCCTGCCCCTCCCTGCACGTGAGCCTTCACCCTCTGGGAAGTGGTAGATTTCAGATCGATGGCCGGTGGGGAGCTGTAGTCCAGGACAAGTTGAAGCCGAATATCATGTTTTAGGTATGTACCCAACTGGACTCAGACATAAATTATGTGTGCTCAGTGAGTCAGAGCCTAAATCATTAACTTGGTAAATAACTGGCCAGGGTGAGTAAGAGGGCTTGAAGGTGCGCAGGCTGGAGTGTGAGCATTCCGAGAACGCCCTGGGGCACAGCACAGACCCTCTCAAGTCCTCTTGCTGGGGAGCCCCATCCACACTGGGAAACTCACCAGGAATGCAGCTTTCCTTCCTCCACATCTCCGTCTGCGAGGAATCTACCTGCCTTGGACCAGGCACCTTCTGATCAGTAGACACACACCTGGGTCTGTGCACTTAAACAGCCTGCACTCACTGCAGCTCAACAGGAAACTGGTGGTGCACACGTATTCACAGGCAGGCACACATTTTCAGAACGCAAACGCCACCTAGAGTTGGCCCCAGATACTGATCAGGCTGCAGGTTGTCAGACAGCAACAGTGAAACCTTGTGACTCAGTGCCCTGGAGCGCCAATCATCCTCTGGCTGAGCAGGCAGGGCCTTGGGGGAGACACCCAATGGTGGGTGGCAGCAGGGGGAGTCCTGGGACACGGATGGAGTGGCTAGATGCTGGGCGGGCAGCCGCTCAAACATCCACACTCTCTTTCCTGCACCCTGGCCATGTGAGCCCCCACCAGATACAAGACCCTGGGCTGCAGCTCTGGTTGGAGCATCGTGCTTACTGCATGGCCACAGCTCCTTTCTTGCTGACACTGGCAAAGGAAGATGAAATATTTAGTAGGCAACATGCATAATTTATCCCTGTGCGGATGCACGTTCCCACCCCACACAGAGCTGCTCGCTCGCCTACCAACAGACCTGTGTAGGGGCTGATTTTTCATCCTGGGCTCCCCAAGCCCGAGGTTTCTTCCTCACGGAGCCCATCCCTGGGCGCTGTGTGCATGGGCACAGCTTTCTGTGCTTGGGCATGGGCAGTAGGCTCAGCCCTCCCAGTAGCCTATGAAAGGTGGACTCTCCAAGGAAGCTGTGTGCCCATGGAGAAATTTAATAGCGGGAAGAGGGCATGCAAATAGGGAAAAATGGTGACAAAAGCACCAGCCAGGGAAAAGTCAAATTTTCAGCGTAGATGCCCATCAAAAGTGCACAAGTATCTGCACAACAGGCTCACGGCAGGCCCACAGATTATTCTGGAGTTGGGTCTCTGTAGAAGACCCCCAGTGGGGTGTCCTTCCTCTACGAATACATCCCACTGCATCTACAACGGATGCATCATATTTCCCCAGCAGACAAGCCATCAGTTTACAGACGGAGCAGCCACTTTTGTAGCCATGCCAAGGCACACAGTCCTACAAATCCAGCTTCCTGACCTTGCCCAGTGGTGTCCCGAGGCTACAGACCCAGAAGAGGAACCATTAGGCTAAAGCATGTGTGGCTTTTTGAAGGTGGGGGTGGTTGCTGTCTCCTGGGGAGCTGACTCTGATTGGGTTGCCACTCCAGAAACGGCCAGATTCACCATTGGTATTGCTGTCTGTCGAGCAGAAGCAGCAGTATTTCATTTTTCTAAAATCTTGTATGTCTAATTACTAGTTCAAACATTTTTTTAAATTCTTTGTATTTGTGGGGAAAGATTTATTTATTTATTTGAAAGCTAAGTGACACAGAGAAATCTTCCATCATGGGTTCACACCCCAAATGGCCACAATGGCTGGGGTGGGGCTGACCTGAAGCCAGGAGCTTCTTTTGGGTTTTCCACATGGGTACAGGAGCCCAACCACTTGGACCACCCTCTGCTGCTTTCCCAGGTGCATTAGCAGGGAGCTGGATCCGAAGCGGTCAGTTCAGCTGGGACTTGAACTGACATCTGTATGTGATGTGGGCATTGCAGAGGATGGAGTAACCCACTGCACTACACCGCCAAGCCCTGTATTTTTCTTTCACTGGCTTTTCTGTTTGGATGCTTTGCACAGTTTTTTGAAGATCAAAGTCTGGTTTTCTTCTTAGCATGTGAACCCCTTCCTGTGTCGTATGCACTCACCTTTGAGTTAGTGTTTCTTCCTTGTCATTTGTCCCTACCGAGCCAATGTATTGTCTTCAGTATTGACTGTCTCAGGATCTTTTTTTAAAAAAGATTTTATTTATTTTTATTACAAAGTCAGATACATAGACAGGATGGTCCAAAGCCTTCAGCCCCTTCACTCACATGTGGGAGACCTGGAAGAAACTCCTGGCTCCTGGCTTTGGATCGGCTCAGCTCCGGCCG